ACCCTGACTAAAAGAAAAAGGGAAGGAAAGCATCAAAAATAACTATAAACACTTAAATTTAGTCACAAACTCACAACACAAAAAAAGAATAATTTGTGACAACAATAACTCAGAAGGCAAAGAAGAAAAGGATAGAACCTGCTTAGGCTAATTGAGATAAGAGGCTATCAGAAAATGGAATATCTTATCTATGAGATCTTTTATACAAACCTCGTGGTAACCACTAAACAGAAAATCAGAGCAGAGGCACAAATCATAAACAAAGAGAAAATTGAGCAAACCACCACAGAAAACCACCAAACTGAAACAGCAGTCAGAATTACAAGGGAAAAAAAACAATGGAAATATAGAACAACCAGAAAACAAGAGATAAAATGGCAGTATTGAGCCTTCTTATGTCAGTAATCACTCTAAATATAAATGGATTGAATTCTCCAATCAAAAGACACAGAGCGGCTGGACAAATTAAAAAACAAGACCCAACAATATGCTGCCTCCAGGAAACTCATTTCAGCTCTAAAGACAAACATAGGCTCAGAGTGAAGGGACAGAAGATGATACCCCAAGCAAATGGCAAGCAAAAGAAAGCAAGTGCTGCCACACTTAGACAAAGCAGACATCAAGATAAAAGAGACAATGAGAGACAAGGAGGGGCAGTATATAATGATAAAAGACATATTCCACTAAGAGGACACAACAATTATGAATATATATGCACCTAACACAGGAGCACCAAAGTACATGAAGCAACTATTAACAGACCTAAAGGGAGAAACTGACAGCAGCACAATAATAGTAGGGGACCTCAACACCCCACTTATATCAATGGGTAGATCATCCAGACAGAAAGTCAACAAGGAAATATTTGGCCTTAAACGAAACACTAGACTAGATGGACTTAATAGATACACAGAGAATATTCCACCCAAAAACAACAGAATACACATTCTTCTCAAGTGAACACTGAACAATCTCAAAGACAGACCATGTGCTGGAAAACAAGGCAAGTCTCAATAAATTTAAGAAGACTGAAATCATATCAAACATCTTTTCCAATCACAATGCTATGAAATCAAAATCAACTATAAGAAGAAGGCTTGGAAAGTCACAAACATGTGGAGACTAAACAACATGCTACTGAACAACATCTGGATCAACAAAGAAATAAAAGGAGAAATAAAAAAACACCTGGAAACAAATGAAAACCAAAACACAACATACCAACTCCTATGAGATGCAGCAAAAGTGGTACTAAGAGGGAAATTTATAGGAATACAGGCCTACCTCAACAAATAGGAAAAATCGCAAGTAAGTAACATTAAACTACACCTAATAGAACTAGAAAAAGAAAAACAAACAAGTCCCAAAGTCAGCAGAAGGAGGGAAAAAATAAAAATTAGAGCAGAAATAAATGAAATAGATATTAAAAAATCAATAGAAAGAATCAATGAAACTAAGAGCTGATTCTTTGAGAAGATAAACAAAATTGACAAACCCTTAGCCAGACTCACTGAGGAAAACAGAGAGAAGCCTCAAATAAATACAATTAGAAATAAAAGAGGAGAAATTACAACAGATACCACAGAAATACAAAGGACTATAAGAGAATACTATGAAAAACTATATGCCAACAAATTGGATGACCTAGAAGAAATGGATAAATTCTTAGACTCATACAACCTCCCCAAACTGAATCAAGAAGAAACAGAGAATCTGAATAGACCAGTCAGAAGTAAAGAGATTGAAACAGTAATCAAAAACTTCCCAAAAAACAAAAGCCCGGGACCAGATTGGTTCTCTGGAGAAGTCTACCAAATATTCAAAGAAGATTTAATACCCATCCTTCTCAAACTATTCCAGAAAATTGAAGAAGACAGGACGCTTCCTAACTCATTCTATGAGGCCAACATTACCCTGATACCAAAAGCAGACAAGGACAACACAAAGAAGGAAAATTACAGGCCAATATCGCTGATGAACATAGAAACAAAACTCCTCAACAAAATATTGGCAAATCGAATACAGCAATACATTAAAAGGATCATACACTGTGATCAAGTGAGATTTATACTAGGGATGCAGGGATGGTTCAACACCTGCAAATCAATCAATGTGACACATCACATAACAAAATGAAGAATAAAAATCACATGATCATCTCAGTAGATGCAGAGAAAGCTTTTGACAAGATCCAACATCTATTTATGATTAAAAAAACTCTCAATAAAATGGGTATAGAAAGAAAGTACCTCAACATAATAAAGGCCATATATGACAAACCAACAGCCAACATCATACTCAACAGTGAGAACCTGACAGCCGCCCCTCTGAGAATAGGAACAAGACAAGGGTGCCCACTTGAACCACTCCTATTCAACATAGTACTGGAGGATTTGGCCAGAGCAATTAGGTAAGAAAAAGAAATAAAATGGGTCCAATTTGGAAAGGAAGAAGTGAAACTCTCACTGTTTTTGGATGACATGAGTCTATGTAGAAAACCATAAAGAATCCACCAGAAAACTATTAGAAATAATCAACAACTACAGCAAAGTTGCAGGGTACAAAACCAACTTACAAAACTCAGTCGCATTTCTATACATTAATAACAAACTAACAGAAAGAGAAGTCAAGAATACAATCCCATTCACAATCGCAACAAAAAGAATAAAATATCTGGGAATAAACTTAAGCAAGGAGGTAAAAGACCTATACACTGAAAACTATAAGACATTATTGAAAGAAATCGGAGAAGACATAAAGAAATGGAAAGATATTCCATGCTCATGGACTGGAAAAATAAACATAGTTAAAATGTCCCTATTACCAAAAGTGATTGACAGATTCAATGCAATCCCAATCAGAATCCCAATGACATTCTTCACAGAAACAGATCAAAGAATCCTAAGATTTATATGGAACAACAAAAGACTCCAAATAGCCAAAGCAATCCTTAAAAAAAAGAACAAAGCAGGAGGCATCACAATCCCTGGCTTCAAAATATACTACAAAGCTACAGTAATCAAAACAGCATGGTACTGGCACAAAAAGACACACAGATCAATGGAACACAAGTGAAAGCCTAGAAATAAAACCACACATCTATGGACAGCTAATCTTCGACAAATGAACCAAGAACATATAATGGAGGGGCTGGCCCAGTGGTGTAGTGGTTAAGTTTGGCGCGCTCCACTTTGGCAGCCTGGGTTCGTGGGCTCGGATCCCAGGTGTGGACCTACACCACTCGTTAGCCATGCTGTGGTGGCGACCCACATACAAAATAGAGGAAGACTGGCACAGATGTTAGCTCAGGGCTAATCTTCCTCAAGTAGAAAAAGAGGAAGATTGGCAACAGATGTTAGCTCAGGGCAAATCTTCCTCAGCAAAAAAAAAAGCACACAACGGAGAAAGGAATGTCTCTTCAATAAATGGTGTTTGGAAAACTGGACCGCCACATGCAAAAGAATGAAAGTAGACCATTATCCTACACCATATACAAAAATTAACTCAAAATGGGTTAAGGACTTGAATGTAAGACCCAAAACCATAAAACTTCTAGAAGAAAATACAGGCCGTACACTCTTTAACATTGGTCTTAGCAGCATCTTTCCAAATACCACATCTACTCAGGCAAGGGAAACAAAAGAAAAAGTAACAATTGGGACTACATCAGACTAAAAAGCTTCTGTAAGTCAAAAGAAACCAGGAACAAAATGAAAAGACAACCCACCAACTGGGAGAAAATATTTGCAAACCATATATCCGACAAGGGGGTAATTTCCAAAATATATAAAGAACTCATACAACTCAACAACAACAAAATAACAACCGAATCAAAAAATGGACAGAGGATATGAACCTTTTTCCAAAGAAGATATACAGATGGCAAACAGAGACATGAAAAGATGTTGAACATCATTAATTATTAGGGTAATGCAAATCAAAACGACAATGAGATATCACCTTACACTGTCAGAATGGCTATAATTAATAAGACAAAAAAACAACAAATGTTGGAGAGGATGTGGAGAAAAGGGAACCCTCATTCACTGCTGGTGGGAATACAAACTGGCGCAGTCACTATGGAAACAGTATAGAGATTTCTCAAAAAATTAAAAATAGAAATACCATATGATCCAGCTATCCCACTACTGGGTATTTATCCAAAGACCATGAAATCAACAATTCAAAGAGATTTATGCACCTCTATGTTCATTGCAGCATCATTCACAATAGCCAAGACATGGAAGCAACCCAAGCACCCATCAACTGACAAACGGATAATGAAGATGTGGTATATATATACAATGGAGTACTACTCAGCCATTAAAAAAGACAAAATCGTTCCATTTACAACAACATGGATGGACTTGGAGGGTATTATGTTAAGCGAAAAAAGCCAGATAGAGAAAGACAAACACCATATGATATCACTCCTATGTGGAAGATAAACAAACAGATGGATAAAGAGAACAGATTAGTGGTTACCAGAGGGGAAGAGGGTGCAGGAGCAGGTGAAAGGGGTAAAGGGGCACATATGTATGGTGACGAATGAAAACTAGACTATTGGTGGCGAGCACAACGCAGTCTACACAGAAACTGATATTTACTAATGTAGACCTGAAAGTACACAATATTATAAATAAATGTGACCTCAATAAAATTAAAAAATAAAATGACAACCCATTTATGGCACAGGTGGTAAAAATGTTTTTCAGGCTTCTTCCAAAAGGCTCATTGAACCAAAGTGAGCCTCTTATTCTGGGAGATTTGGGTACATAGATAATGAAAATAAAGTTCTGAAAACTGCCTGGGAGTTAAAAACCCACTCTAAAAAGGGTCAATAGAACAAAATGGCCAGCCACCCTCTCTCCACTTCCCAAACATATTCTTAAATTTCTAAACCATAATCAGAAAGAGCCCGTGATAGACTTTACCTCCTGAGACAGTAAATGACAACAGCACCATTGCCATGGAAACTAAAGGAAAATCTCAACTCTTACCTCACTCAGACCCTCTCTTTCACAGAATGTCTGAGAAAAAAACACACAGGTCATCGTTTCTTCCTTCTTTGTAAAAAGAATAAAGTCTTTTCCAATCCTCATGGATCCACTGTATTAAAAATCAAGAACGTGATGGTTTACATCTCAAATACTGAAAAGAAGGAACAGGAGGGCAAGATACTGTGTCCTGTAACAGGTTGTTCTTTTCATAGAGACAACTCCACTGCTTTGCTGACCCATCACCAAAAAAGGTACAAGTGTGATTTTTTCCCTCAAAATGGAGTAGATGGATTTGAATTAATCCAGCCCCACACTCTCGCCTGAGACATGACTGCTGGAGATAAGGTGCTGTCTGGGGCTCAAGAAAGAACAATCATTTGCCCCTGGCAGGTGCCACACAGGTGGACACAGGCAGCCTTGTGTCCTTGCCTTTCAGTGAGGCATACTAATAAAATAAGATGTGGACACACCTAACACCTACGCTCAAAGATGCTTTGAGAAACAACAGAACACAGAGATGCAATGAAGCTCTAATGTACATCAGTTTCTATATCATCTATTTGAGAATTAAATTTAAAAAGGTTGTAAAGATCCAAGTCAGTTATGGGAATGGAGACTCCAAAACAAGGTAGCACTCCCAATTCTTTTTTAAGTTTTACAAGCTTGGACCATTCTGTATAAGATTGCCTTTAACTATATATTGTTTCCAATATCAATAACGTATGCCTTCAAGGAAAAAAAAATTTCTCACCTTTTAAGACCATTGCCATATTGCCCAATGAACTTCAGGGTCGATAACCGTTTCTTGGATGTTCCAAAGTAAATAATATCTGAAGATTCCTCTGCAATCGACAGAGATGTTTAAAGTGGTTAGGAATTATGAGTCGTTGACAGTGGCTGGAGGTCCAGTTGTCAAGATGTCACAACATATCTCAGGATATTAGGACAAATCCATACCTCTTGGGTCAGCTCAGAAACAAGGATTCTTGTCAGGCTGCATAATCTCTGACCCGGATCTTAATGGCATTATATTGAAGGAGGTCAGAAAGACCAAACCATGTGACTTTGGCTAAATAAGAGTTTAAACTCTGAGTTTTAATTTCCTTGTCTCTAAAAGGGAACTACTGATACTTATATCACAGAGTTGCTGATGAAGATAAATGAAATAAATGAGATGATGCATTTGTGAAACCCTGAACACAATACATGGCACTTGATAAATGCTAATAAATTAGTGTTAAATATATGTATATATGTACCACTAGTGATTTTCCATGGATTTGGCCCTTATCCAGTCCCATGTGAGACTGAAAAGACAAGAATGGCTTCTGCTCTGATACTACCTGGGAAAGGAGGGCTACTTGTTTCAGACTTTCAGAGTTATTCTCCTCATCTCTCCAGGGCATTCTGGAATTCTAGAGAAGAATCCTCTGGACTTCAGAAAATACATAGCTCCAGAAACAGGAATGCTCCCAGGGAAACAGGAAAAGATAGAAATGGGTCTCCCAATTGGCCTACCTGAATACATACTCTAGAATTTCCCTGAGGACCCTGTATCAATCTGGGGGCAGACATTCAGTTGCACCTGGTATGGGGTATATAAAGGCTACCAGACACTCTGCACGTCACAAGCTAACTGGACCTTCTATCACATGTTCCTATAAGGGGTTGGGTATTAGGTGAGGATATCCATAATGACAGCATTAGCTACCATTTATTGACTGTTTAGTATGTGCTAGACACTATATTATATACTGCATTGACTATTAAATATTCATAACAAACCTAAAAGGAAGATACTATCATGACGCACATGTTACAGATGAGGAAACTTAAGTTTAAGGAGTTTACGTAACTTGCATAAGGTCACACAGCTGATGAACGCTACCACCAGGATTACAACCCAGAGTTGTCAAAGACCAAATCCCATGGTTTTCATCACACACCACATAGACTCCCACATACGGTGGCCAAAGTACTGGGTACAGAGACAGAACACTGAATAGGGCAGACACGACCCCTGCCCTCAACAACTCTATGTCATGGTGGGAGAAACAGATTGAAAGAAGTAGACAAACAAGATCCTTTCTGAGAGTGTTAAGTGAAGGAAACAAAACCAGGGTAATGTGATAGAGAACTGGAGTATGGCCTGTAGACAGAATGACCAGGAAAGGCCTCTTTCATAAGGTGACATCTGAGATGAGATTCAAATGATAAAGGGCCAGCAGGTGTGGATGGAGTGCTATAAGCAAGGAAGTGAACAGTAGGAGCAAAGGTCAGAGGTGGACAGAGGCCAAATAAGTGAAGAAATTGGAAGCATTACTGGGGAGTATGAATTTTATTCTAAAGTAATGGAAAACCACTAAGAGTTCTAAGCAGGAGAATGATACATGATTTATATTAAAAGAAAAACAATCCACTCAGGATTTCTGTGTGGGAAATGGACTGTAATGGGACAAGATTGGAGGTAAAAAATTTGGAAATTTCTGTAGTCACCTTCCATGAGTCAAGACTGATCTAGCTCAGTTTGGACAACAGATAGATTCTATTTTCAGTCATTGGATAAACTCTTCCTTCTAAGTTAGTATTAATTTCCAATCAATATCAATAACGAATTGCTCTCTCAACACAAGTGGGCTTTTTAAAAATGCTACTCTATATGTCAACTGAACTGTGAATTCCTTCTGGAGATCTGAATATTTGTCACTTTGTGTTTTGATCATTTTTTTTGTGGACTCCTATAAAGAAGTCGCTTCTTTTTCTAAAGAACTGCCTTAGAATATATCACATATTCCGTTATTTATTTTAACAATTCAGGAAAATAAACTTAACATTCAGCCTAGAAGTAAAAAATGAAACTGTTTTTTCAACATGGTTTTCTCACAAACTCTGTTCTTTCTCTTATTTAGTTAAACACTAAGGAACCAACAATACTTTTAATCAAAATGACGTGGAAAAATCAAAATGATCCAAAGTCAGAACAAGAACTGAGTAGGATATTTGAGCATTTTCTACACTTGCTAATAAATATTCTTTGACTATTCAGACCAATGGGGAACTTTAGAGATTCAGAAGAAGCTAATTGCTTTACTTTGTATTCTTAGCTTCCATCAGCACCCGTGAGCATTTCTTCCCTCTGGTGTGGAACTGACCAGAACAGCTCCATATTACTTGAACTCCCTCACCGTTCTTTAAACCTAGTGCTCACAAACCCTGGCTTGTGGGATATAGCAAGTGCTATAAGAATTCAGAGATAAGCTATCCCAAAGAACTCAAAGCCCTTATCAGAGGGAATAACATTTCAATTCCACAGCAAACAGGTTTTGTGCACCTACTATGTGCTGGCTTTTTGCCAGCCTTGATGATACAAAGGTAAGCCATGCAATGTATTGTAGATGGAATCATTTCGAGGGGAACATTCAATTGAAGCAACCAAACCTTTGAACATGCAGAGAAAAAACACAAACTGCTAAGAACAAGGAGAGGTGACCTCTACCTCAAGGTTAAGCAGAAAACTAAAAATAGCTTAAAGGCAGTGGAAATTGCATCCCGACTCTTGCAAACAATACCTGAAGGGGGGGTCTGAAAACCATCTGAGTCCATCCAGTTACTGTTTGTTTCCCATTCGTTCCCAGATGTTTTTTCTTACAAGTAATCGGTACCTTCTGCCTTTCATTTTTCTGGCAATATTTATTTACATTCACTTTTTGTCTTGGTTTAGATGATCACAATGAATTTACTCTGTCAGCAGGAATATTTAAATCTAAAAAGTTCAACAATATGTGAAGTCTGGGGTTTATTTCCCTAATAGCTCCATACCTGGTTTTGCACAGATAGCTCAATTTACTTTTATTTATTTTATGGGTTTTCAGACTGTTTCTTCTAACAGCCAGTTAGGCATCTAGATAATTAACTTACCAGGACTCATACCACATCCATCATCCAGGAAGCACAACATGAATCCACCCTGCAGTTTTTCATTATCCACTATAAGAGAAAGCAGTTATTACTAATAAATATTGGGCTTAATTTGTTTGTCAGAGAATCATGCTGCTCACATAATTATTTGTCCTCCTCAAACACAGCCACTGAGTGACAGAGTTATGGCACAACGATGGAGCTCAGAAAGGCGTCTTGGCTATAGTTTCACAAGAAACTGCAGGGGGGAAACCATCATGCAACAAAAAGGCTTTAAACTACATAAAACATCTACACATTAATAAATTACACATACAGCATGACATGCCCTGTTCTGGAATCCGACTGGTCCTTTAAACTTCAGGCATTTTCTCCAGAGGGAGGGAATAGGTGGATGGTGATGGGACCCCAGGATCCCTTTATCAGACTGATCAACTTTTATGCCCTTCCACCAAAGCACTAATTCTAAAGTCAATCCAGGCCCATTCTGATTAAACCCATCAGGCTCTCTTCTAAGTGGTTAATTCCCATAAGAGCCGTTTGTGTGCGCTTCTTAGTGGCAGCAAATATTTGCCTCTTGAAAACGCATTTGATTTTTGAAAATGGCTAAGTTATTTGGAATCCATTTCGATGATTAAGAGAGATCATTAAGTTACATAACATAATCTCTTGTTAAAAAAGTTTTTAAGGTGTAACGAAAACTAATGAGACTAATTTTAATGCACAGTTTGTAACCTAGCTCTGAAAGTAATTTCAACATTTGGATGTATGAGTTCTAGCTCATCTCTCTCTCTCTTTTTTTTTTTTTTGATAATAGCTTTATTGAGACATAGCTTACATATAAAAAAACCCTGCATGTTTAAAGTGTGCAATTTGATAAATTTTGACATTTGTATATACCCACGCAACCATCACCACAATCAAGGTAGTGAACACAGCCATCGCCCCAGATATTTCCTCCTGTCCCTCAAGTGTGTCTCCCTTCTGCCCCTTCCTTGCCTCATCACCCCCACCCTGTCCCCAAGCAGCCACTGATTTGCTAATTCTGTCCCCATAGATTCATTTCTAGCAATTTGTTAAGTCAACTCTGTTCGATGGTCACCTCTAATCCACATTTTAAAAATTAAATAATGTTCTAGATAATCTATAAGTAAATATCCAAAAAGCATATCTAAGTCCTCTGGGTTCATAATTTTATAGTATGTGCCCACTTCAAATCCCTCTCCTCTCTCTAACTCACCTCCTGTTTATAATCCCTCTGGATCTCCCCTACCATCTCATTTTCCCAGTTCTTTTCTCTACCTGGTCCTCTGGTCTGCTCACCTCAACTTCTGTGTCAGAATATTCCTCCCCCTCTAGGTATCTGCTCTGTTCAGCCCTCCCTCTGACTGAGGCTAACATTTCTCCACTGTTCAACAAGGGGAACCCAACTCTTGTTGAGTTCTTAGCACAATGCAGTAGTTCTCAATCTTGGCTGCACATTTGAATCATCAGGAGATATTCTGAATTAACTGGTCTTGGATGGGGTTCAGGAATAAAAGCTCCCCCCAATTATCTTAATGTTTGTCAGGATTGGGGACCACCTGATCTAAGCCTTAGGCAGCTCTGCATAGCTGCAACAACTGATTTTGCAGCTCTTAGTATACAGTTCTCATGTAAGGAGCTTGCACAAAGAAGGGCTTTTCTTCAGCGAATAGGTGGAAAATACTCAAAATTCCCAAGAGACATACAGTGCTTACTTTTGTCTATAAATCTCAATGAGGGATTGCAGACCATCATAGCCTGAAACTTTAATATTCTCTTACTATCCACCCTGAAGATTGGCCTTATTTCAATTCCTTAAAACTATGGATTTCAGATAGATTTCTATTATCTGTTAAGTACGCATGTCCAAAACAAACCACAGCACCTTCTCCCTCATCAGACTTACTCCTCCCGGTGTTTCCTGTTCAATAAATGGCATCACTCTACCATTAGGCTTCCGCTGCCCAAGTCAAAATCTCAGACCATCAAGTTCCCCATCTCCTCACCCCACATACAGACATGTCTTCTCAATCCCACCTCCTTAATGTCTTTCAAATTTGACACTTCTCCATTTCCATGACACTGCTTTAGTTCAGGAACCATCATCTCTCTTCTGGATTACAGCAACAGCTCCCTAAGTCCTCGCTCCCACTAAAATCAGAGAGTACAGACTGTCTGCAACCAGCTGTGCATTTTGCTACTCTCCAGCTTACAACACTTGCACGGCTTCCCACTGCCCACAGGATGAAACCCAAGCCAGTTGACAAATCTTGCTTGCCTTTCACGACCTGTCTCTTCTACTCTGTGATGGTTAATTTTGTGTGTCAACTTGACTAAGGTATGGTGCCCAGCTGTGTGGTTAAACATTAGTCCAGATGCTGCTATGAAAGTATTTGTGGATATAATTAACATTTACAATCAGTTGACTTTAAGTGAAGCAGATAACTTCCATAATGTGAGTGGGCCTCATCCAATCAGTTGAAGGCCTTAAAGGCAGAGACTGAGGTTTCCCAAAGACGAAGCAATTTTCTGCCTCAAAACTGCAACATAGAAACCCTACTTGAGTTTCCAGGCTGCTGGCCTTCCCTGAAGATTTAGAACTCAAGACTACAACATCAACTCTCACCAAGATTGGAAGGTAATTCAGGGGCCTCAGTAAATAATTTGAAAACTAGCCCAAGGCTTAGATTAATTACGCAACCCCATACCAATTCTCCTTATTGGTGTATAAGCGCTGGCTCTGGTTTATATATTTGTATTTTTTTTTAAGAAAAATCAGTTTGGTAAGTTGATAGCCATATTGTGGTTTGGTGCAATAAAAACATTCTGTAAGATAAATAGGTAATTTAAAACCAAAAACCATAAATTCAGTTTTTCACAAAACACATATAACCTACATAAATAAAGAAGTGTCACTTTCAACTCAAATTGCAAAGATTCTTTTTTATTTTTTGTGACAATGCCAAGTGCTAGAGAAAGTGGGGTGAAAGGATCACTGTCGTGCCCTGCTGGTGTCCTGCTACAAACCCAAAAGAACATAACGTGAATTCTGATCACATTTGTTATACTTCGTGATTCCAGATAATTCTTCTCAACCCTTCAACTCTTCATGAATAATATACGTATGTGCTGTGAATGAAAGGCAGCTTAAATCTTTTCTCCCTTCTCCATTTCTAGGAACACTGCCCTAGTTCAAATTCTCATGAAATCTTGCCTAAGTCATTTCCATAGCTCCACTTCCTTGTTATTCCTTCTTCCACACTTCTACAGATCATCTACAGACCGTCCTGCACACTATTGCTGGAGTATCTTTCTTTAAAAAAAGAAAAGAGCACATTTCTAATTTGCCAGATGACATTGCTCAAGTCTTCAATGGTCCTCTGCCTAGAGGAAGAACCTCAGCATGGTATTGAAGGTGCTCATCCACTTGGCTCTAACAGTTAGCACTAGTCAGCCGTGCCCAGTCATTGTCCCCTGAATGCTTTTTCTCCAAGTATCTACATGGCTAGCTCCCTAGAGTCATTCAAGTCTTTGCAAGAACATCACCTATTTAGAGAAACTCCCTGATAACCCATGAAAATACTTTCTTCCCATCACTCTGTTCTCTTATCCCACTTTTTTTTTCCTTTTAGCACTTATCATTGCGTGGTATATTACTTATTTGTTCATTTCTTTTCTGTCTCTCTCTCCCTATTAGAATGCATGTTTCAGGGGAGCACAGACTTAGTCAAACATAACTGGTCTGAATTTTGCTCAATGCTCTATCTCTAGCACCTAGAATAATTGCTGGGCTCATTCATAATAGACACTCATGAATGAATCTCTGAACTACTCTACCTCCAGTCTTTTTCTCATAATATTTCTTTCTATACTACTTGACAAAAACCACATCCGTATTTCAAGCCCTGGCTCTTTAATATGAGGAAGGCATTCTTTCTCCATGTTCCCTCTATACTTTGAGTCTCTCCTAGGCAAGAGACACTTATTCTACTTTACTCTATATAATTGGATATATAAGGAGATCACATTTTCTTCACTCCTAGTGTTTCCTTCTACGTGGAATGGAGCCCAGTTAGCATTGGTAAAGAGGCCCTTCTCAGTTCCCTGACTCACTTTTCCCTGCTGCAGGGGGCTCACTCATCTGACTGGTAATTTCGGGAAGAATAACCTGGGACTGCTGGGTTCAGATCGCTCCCGTTCCCTCTTGGGAGTGAGCTGCCTGCAGGGAGCATGAGTTCCTTCCCTCTCCCCGGGGCTGCCCAGTTTCTCGTGGAAGCCTGACTCCACAGGTGGCTCAGTGACACTCTCTCACTGAGCTCCATTCCACGACCCAGCATTTATCAGCAATAAAGACTCTCTTGTTTTATTTCTCAAACTCTTGGGAACCTGGAGAGTACAAAGGCGAAAAGCGTGTCATTTATTGTTTTTCCTCAGATATCTCAAGACGTCCATGTCTCTCTCCCTCATGAACCAGAAGCACCCCCCAGCACAGGATCTTACACATTTACAAAATTGAATTGAACTGAGTTGCTTTATAAACACAGACATGGATTTACATCAGGGACCATATCCTCTCTCTGGCGACCAACAGCCAATACTTACAAGAGAGCTGACAGAATCGGGGTTGAGGATCAGTTTTAACACCGCAGGCGTTTCTCTAGGTGGTGTTAACTACAGGACTGGATCACAGAACCTAACTTCACTTGCATCGTATTCTAATGAAATGAACTAATAAATGCAATAAATAATTGGTGACTAAAAATGAAGTCAATGAAGAAAACGTATTTGGTTTGAATTTCACAGCCCTCAAACATTCATCCTGCACACTCACTTACACATTTTAAAACTGCAATAAGTTGAGAATGATGCATACTTAATTATGAATAACCATTAAGTTAATATGCTTTTTAAAATAAAACGGTTTTCTCATGGTAGACAAATCACTCTGACGCTTTCACAAAACCCTGGAAGAGCTAATTTTGTAAATGGGTCCTCTGACGAGTGAACAATGTCACTCTAAGAGTGTACTTTTCTCAACCTGGCTCCCACAGGGCCACTGTACTCACAAAGCATTTAGATTACATTAAAAATCTATAGAATGTGGTTTGATTTCATCAAACAAAATAAAAGCAAAGTAACTACAGGCTTTCCCATTAGAAGAAAAAAAAGAAGAAAGCAAATCTGCTCACCTGAAAACACATCAAGTCTTGCAGCCCCTGCATCTCTGGAAACAATACAAAAATATCATTGCTTCAATATTAAATTACGCTTTAAAAAAATTACATCAATCTGAATAGCTTATGTGAGGTACAACCTATTGTCATATAGCAAACAATAGAGAAATCCATTTAAATGGCTTCAAAAACAATTACTAAAATGTTTCACTCTGCATTTATACATAAGACCTATGATCACTCACAATTTGAGAATATTACAAAGCCTGAAACTCAGAAATTTAAAAGAAGAGATGGAATTTAATGGCAGTTCACAAAAAGCTCAACAAAATGGATATGAATAATAAAAAAAAAAAACTGGTTGGAAAATAATCCAGAGGTCATAGAAAGATTTTCATGATATAGTTCAAACAAAAATGAAAAGAAAAAGCAAATTACTAAGTAATATGTACTGCATGATCCACATTTTTAAGAACATATATGGTATACACGTGCATATCTGTAAGGAAAGAAATCAAAATGTTAACGGTGGTTTTCTCTAGGTCAAAGGTTGGCAAACTATGGCCCATGGGCCAAATGTGGCCCACCAACTGTTTTTCTAAATAAAGTTTTATTGGAACATGATCATGCCCATTCATTTACATATTGTCTATGGCTGCCTTCACAATACAACGGCAGAGTTGAGTAGTTTCAACAGAGAACACATGGCCCGCAAAGGTGAAAATATTTCCTATCCGGTCTTTTATAGAGAAGTAGCTGACCCCCACTCTATGTGATGAGATTACTGATTACTTTTCTTTTTTTCTTATTTTCTCAGTTTTCTACAATTCACAAATGTTATTTCTATATTTTTAAAAATTATTTTTCAAGTAAAAATTGAAAAAGGAAAGGAGAAAGAGCCAGAAGATCCTGGGTTCAATACCAGGGGTGTGAGAGGAAGGAGGAAGACAATGAAGAATGAGATCTTAGCTGACACAGAAGAGGGTATGTTGAGGGCAAGAGTGTAAAAGAAAGCTCAGAATAATAACAACCGGTGGTACTCTGATGGGGAAATCTGAGTCTCCCTCAAAACTTCCATCAGTCCCAAGCCAAAACTACCCCAAATAAATCTGAGAAGGTACGCTGCACTTGTTCTACAAGCCTAGTTTCAAATTTAGTCCCTTAGCTCCTTCCTCCAGCCAAGTGCTACTTCTAAGCTCCTCCTGTGTAGCAATTCTGGGGTTACCACTGCCACTTCTTGAGCATTTTCTGGATGTCAAGTAAGCAGTGAATGAAGTATTTTTGAACCTTCTCTTCTAATCTTTACTATAATCTCATGACATGTAGGTATCATTATCTCCACTATATAATTAACTATATATTATACAAAGTATTATGTACACAATAGGTGTTCAATAAATGCCACTGTACTGAAATGGAAGTTTTCAAAGAAACAGTTTCTTCATACAGCATCTCCATGGGATAGGGCACAGAACAATCATTCACTTTTACAGGATATTAAGACATTTTAGAATAAGCTTTATACTCCGGCCCAGGTACTTTCTCTCAGAACAGCTGCTGCATTAGGAAGAGGCCTCCAACCAGCCCCTCCTATACTGTAACATTTTTCCTCCTTGCTCTGTCGCACTCTTTTAACATCTTCTAGTTCTGACTTTGACAACTACAGGAAACTATCAAGATCTTGAACACAGCGATATAAAACAACTTCTTAGAATAACACAAGGACTTTACAAAGACCTTCTTCATGAGACTAACTGAGCATCTTGAGTAAGTCCATTAAACAGCTTCATTTGATGTCAAACACTAGCATCTAAGCAGTGGCGGCAAACTCAAGTCCACTGAAGACAGAACTGAGGAGTTCAGGTGGGCAGTGGGGAACAGTGGGATAGCAAGGCTGAAGGCACAGGCTGGTCCCAAGAGAGCACCTGCTTCTCACCTCCAGCACCTGATCCCATGGAGAAACGTGGCCTCGAACTGCTACTTCCAATCTTTAAAAAAAAAGTAGAAGATCCAGATATTTATGTGGCACCTCCTGTTTCTTAAACCTTACAAACGATTCCTTCTTTTCTTCCTTTTCTTTATGAACACTGGGCAAACTTTCACCATGAGTCAAACAAACACGAGACAGGCTGGACGTGGCCAGGGAGCTGCCAGCTCACCAACGCTGCCCTAAGAACTGCATTACTGATCACATTGCTCTCACGCCCTGAGTCTGGAGACAGTCTTCGCCAATCACCCACTCACCTTCCACTACATGAACTGTTCCCATTGTTTTATTTCTTCTACATTCTGATTTTATCTGCCCTCCTTTGTTGTATGAAAGAGTGAAATAACTTCAGAGGAGAAAAGGCACACAGTGCCTTTTGCCAACACAGTTGGCAAAATAGGCACCTGTGTTCTTACAGAGTTACAGAGGTCAGGTTGCTGAGAAGGGACATTCAGCAGGAGGAAGGACTAATGGATACACGAGGAGCCCTGCTTCAGAGCTCTGAGCAGAAGCAAATAGAAGCAACCCTGACCTCCTGTAGAGACTAACCATGACCATCCACGTGTCCTGGCCCCAGCCCTGTCAGCTCCTTCTAAGTTGAGTTCATGGCTCTCCTGACCAACCAACTTTATTCTTTTAATCCTTTTCCCTCCCTTTCTGTGATAACTGTGATTCCATCAGTTCTGCAGAGAGAGAGTTTCCTATAAGGAGGAGCCAGTGACTTGTCATTTAGTGCTGGGCGCTGCTCTGCAGGAAGTTCTGGAGGCTAGTGAACTGACCTGACCCTGTGGTCACACTCAGTCATCTCCCTTCTAAGGCCAAAAATGGGGGAAAATGAGGAACGCTGAAATACAGTCATCAATCAGTGCCAGAGAATTTAGGTCTCCCTACTGACGATCACATACGAACAATCATGTACTACTTCCTGGGTGGACTTTGCTTTCTGCAGGAAAAGCAGGTAAAATCTTCTGTTATAGGGAAATACGAATATAAAAGAAATCAAATGCCATATTCAACCAGCTGAAAAAGTGACTCCCACACAAGCCGCCACAAATACACAATTGAGTGGGTTTTAAATTGTTCAAGAAGTTTCCTTAAACATCAGTAACCTTGTCCGAGACAGTAAGACGGCGTGGGAGAGTTCTGTAGCCCAACAGCCCGAATTTGAGTTCTAGCACTGCCAAATATCAATTTTATGACCTTAATAAGTCATCTCACCTCTCCATGCATCAGTTTCCACATCTGTAGAAATGGGATGATAACTCCCACCTCAAAGTGTTGTTGTAAAGATGGATGAGTTAATACCTGTATACAAAATGCTTAGAACAGGGTCTGATACACAGTAAGAAATCAACAACAGTTAGCTCTATTCTCCCTAACTATGCAACTGGATTCGGTGCAGACTTCAAGAAATGCCCAAGCCCAAATCCAAAGTCTCAAAACACAGTATATAAATTGATATATAACTCAAAAAACATCCAAATGAATAACTGCTATTCCATGGTTACTAAGACAAAATCAGACATCCAATTTACCTGCAGTTCAATTTGGTCATAAATATAAACTAAATAAAGACGAATAATTCTTCCCCTCACGTGTTCTTTTTCCTATAACACCTTGATTGTATAGAAAATCAAGTCACGAAACATTCCAGGTGGGAAAAAAAATGACATTATCTTTTCATCTTTAAATATAGCTAGGCTTGCTTTATGACACAAAGTTCCCACGATAATCTCTGTTCCCAGCCAAGCCTTACCTCGCATTGTCTAGCAGTTCAGCCAGAGCCCCAAAAAGGAAGCTGTGAGTGGTGCTGAAGAAGAAATAGAGGGAAAACCAAAAGTTAAACCAACTCTGTACTCAGTGTAAAAGGTTCAAGTCACTTGGCAAACAAATGTTCTCTAGTTCTAGACAGATAATCAATTAAGAGTTATTCTAGAAACAACTTTCTCGGCACAGTCAAGGTTCTAAAGTGGATGTGTTCCACTACAAAGCCAGGGCTAGAACGTGATTGCCAAAATATCCCGTCTACTCCTAACAAAACACAGACTTCAGGGACCTTACTGTAGTTAGAGCAAATTTTGACGTTTTTAAATTGCTTTATAAGCATTCATTCAACTTTTTTCAGAGAATTTTTCATTAAAATTGCATTACTTAAGGCCAAACTATTTCTGAAAAATACTGATCAAAACCCCGGTCCACTAAAAGGCCATCAGGCGCCATCTGCAGGCACAGGATGGCAGGGGACCCCTGTTTGCTCCACTAATCTTGTTTTTTCTGTGGAATCTTTTCACCTCACAGATAACCTCACAGATTACCTGCGGTCACTCTCTCCTGTACCCCCCAGTGCTGGGTTCCAGGCAACAGAACACACCAGAAACCATCACTATTTACACACTAAAGGCTGACCGTTCTTCTGTGGGTGAAAGCAGGCTGCCTTCAGTGTCCTACACTTGCTTTTCATTTCCTGATGTGGATATTTCAATCAGCAACTTTATCACAGCATTGAGGGCAGATTCAGTATGTAATTCTCTTTTTATATTTAGTAACCATGTAGCAGAAGCAAGAGAGACCCATTGATCAAAAAATGTCTGCTCGTTTGTACAAGAGGAAAGATCATGTGCTGTATCTCAGAGACTCCAGACACCTCAGGCCACAGGATTATATGTTAGCTTAAAACTCACAATTTTAAAAAATAATACATAAATCCATTCCTTATGGAATTTTAATCTCCTAAATACTATTGTAACAAAAAAATGTTCTTCACTCAAAAGAAAGCCAGTATATAAAAATCTAAAATAGGGCAAAAGAGAAGAGAAGGAGACACGCTTTACAAAAGCACCACTTTAAACCACAAGCCTTTCCAGTGAATTTAAAACACAGGATTCAATATACAAAAATTCAATATATAAACAATCCTTCAGGAAAGCAATTGCAATCATTCTGACATACACAGAAAAGGCCATATACGTCTCTGTACTATATCTTTTGAGAGATTTTTACTGACTGCCTGTCATGGGCCAGTGTAGACAGACGTGGTCTTTACCCTCTTGGGGCTCAAGGCAGTGGGGCATATGGAAAATACACAAGTAAACAAACACATAGCGATGACATGACAGGCTGTGATTAGGTGCTATGAGGAAGGATGATGGGGAAGAGTAGCCGCTGAGGAGGGGCATGGCGGTCAGGGAGAGCCTCTCCTCGTGGAAGACATTTACACTGAGCTCTGAAGGATGAGGCGATCTCAGTCCCTTGCAGAGCCAGTGTGGAAACTGTCCGGCAAGAGCAGGAGGGGCAAAGACCTTGCAGCAGAAAAGAGCCAAGGAGGCCAGGCTGCTCTGGCCGTGGTAAAATGGGGAGATCAGGTTGAGATGTGGCGACTCCACAGTTAGGAGTCCGTACCTGGTCTACATGCAACTGGAAACCACTGTCATGTTTCAGGAAGAGTGACATATCTGGTTTACTTTTTAAAAAGCTCACTCTGGCAGCTTTCAGGAAAATGGGCCATAGCGGAGCAAGAACAGGAAGCAGAGAACGCAGTTTAGAGGCTGTGTGGAAGAGTCTAGAAGGGCGATGGCAGCGGTTTGGACTAAAGTCATTGGCAGTAGAGATGAAGAGAAATGGATGAATCTGAGACATAGCAAGAGACAGCATGAAGAGGAGTTCATGACGGACTGGATGCGGGGGTGAAGCAAGGGAGAAATAAAAAATCACTCGTGTTTACTGAGGGCACTCGCAAACAAAAATCTAGCTGAGGGAGCTGAGAAAATGCCAATTTGTATCTGATTTTGTTGCTGTTGCTTCATGTTGCTGCCACTTTTGTTACTAAGTTGCCAGACCACCAACTGATAATGGGATGCAGGCAGGGGGGACCTCAAGGTTGTTTGAAGGAGGAGGAAGCTGGGGTGCAACAGTTGCAGAAACTATAAAAAACTGAGGCTGAGGAAGTTTCCTGACATAAAATTCACAGTCCTTCTAGCACTCCGCTTATAATTTTTATTAAACTCACTCAAAATTGCTGTTTCTTCATTTGTCTTCCACCTCAGTTAACTTTTACCTACTTGTCCCAACCTCTCCAGCTTGAAATCTTTCTCCATGATAGAGAAAAACTATCTGCTGCATATCGCCTCTTTTACCTTGTTTTCTATAAAACTTACAGTTTGTCCCACACAGCAAGGCTGGCCTTCCCCGGCTTTCTTTACACTTCCGTTTCTGTGGTTTCAAATCTGAGTGCATCCCTTATATCAGTTGGTACTTTTAGCAAATCCAAATTACTAAAAGATTCTAGAAAACCCACATACCACTGTGAATTATCTAGAACTCACTGCTATGCTTTGCTGTGTTGGAAATGACAGATGGAACAGAAAACCTCTGTCACCTGCGTCTGCAGTCTGAGTATTTGAAATAACTCCTAATGAGCAACCAAGAGATCTGGGCGGGACAGAGAAGCAAGAGTGCCCTAGTAATGACTAAAATGTGAGAATTCTACCCTCAGACAGATTACATTTTTGGAAAGACTCAGGAGGCCACAGGAGCTAGAATCAATAAATACAAATTACTCTCTGGAGGGGAACTTTAATCTTTAAAACGTCAGTGTGTTGGGCAGAGAAATCACTAGAGACCGGCAAGGCTGGTAGAATTAGGGTTCTGCTGGCCACAAAGTTTTGTTGAACGTTAAATGTGGGGCCTTCCTACCACTTGGTGTAAACAGAAGACCACCAGAAGGTTTCAGTCTGGTCTAGAATATGTATCTTTATCATTTTTCCATTCTTTTTTTTAAAAAGCATAAACAACTTTAAATAAATACATAAATAATATTTCCATAAATCAATGATACCAAGTTCATTTGTTTTCAAATTGGGTATTTCCCTAGGAGATGGACCAAACTCTGTGTGGCGACCCTCCCCGTCCAGGGTCTGCCTGGGCACTCACGAGTTGGCGTGGATGAAATCCAGATGCAGCTGGGCCCTTCGCAGACTAGCGTACTTGTCGCCCATGTCCTCGCACGCGACCGGCGCGGCCCGAGGAGACACAGACGACCCGCCCCGCAGCTGCTCGCCCACGCCCACCCACGCCCACGCGCACAGGCGCTCGGCGAACACGCGGGCCCCCTGGCGGCCGGATTGAGAAGCTCAACCTGCACTGCAGGCCCGGGTGTAGGCAGGATAGGGGTATTGCGGGTCTTGTTTCCAGCCTTGGAGAAGGAGGCATCTGAGCTAGGCTTCTCCTCCCGAATTGAGATTTGTGTACCCTTCCTAGACAGTTGTTCCTATCCTTCCCCATCTGGGAAATGGTGCCCAAAGCTGTCAGAATTTTGACCAGAAATGATTACACACACACACATAAAGATTGTGGAGAATCTCGGTCACGAGGACGCAAGTGTGGGGAAGGAAAATGGGTAGTTCCCCTTTACGTGTGCGGTTTGTTACACAGCAAGGAGGTAAGGGCGTTTGGTGTTCTAACCCCAGCCTCTACCTTCCGGTGTCTCTTGGGTTAATCCTATTTTCTCCAGATGAAGAAAAGAAAGGAGAAAAGAAATCAGCCAGACAGCGAAAGGAAGGAAGAACTAAAGGCAATGAGAACGGACTTTGGACTTTGCTGTAATGTGGAGGCTTGCGTTCTGTGAGAATCTTTTTCATCTGTCAACTGACATTCAACTCTTTAAGGTGCTGGCAGGGCTGAAGGAATAGACATTCTGTATTGTTCCAAAAGATAGAACTGGGACGTGGTGGTGGGGGGGGGCAGTGATAAATATAAGAAAGGGCTGTGTACACCAGCTGTCCCAATGGAGTTACAAAGCACTGAGTACCAAGTCACCACAACCAAAGCTGAAACAGGATTTGTCAAGGATGCTGTATGGAAAGGTCCTGGTTGGGATGAGAAATTAGTTGATGACCTAGTTGACCTCTAAGAAGTGCTCAAACTCATACAATCTCAGGCTGTGTGACTTGCAAACTAAGATAGTTCAGTAGTTCTCAGCAGAGATTTTACACGATAGTTTTAAAATCAGAAATGAGCATCTCTTGAATAAAGAACTTGAACTGGATGTGTTTGTGATTTCCGGGTGTCATACAAGCGATAAGCCTCTCAGAAAAGAAAAAAAAAACTTGTCAGTTTTGGGATAGTCATTCTACTTCTAAGGAAAGGAGTTTATCAGCTACTATATTTATAGGAATCAGGAAAGGAAGAAAGAATTTGAATGACAACCCAAAGGAACATGATGCTCTATTCTAATTTGAAAACTGGAAGTAAACATAACATTTCAAGTAATTTTCCTGATTGCATTTTTGTTTTAACAGAGGCTGATGTGGTGGTGTTTTGATAGCAGAATTCTCTTTACTAAGCAATTTAAGCTATCTTTCCAATTTTTCCTTCCATAGAATTTCACAAATATGATATTTTATTTTCATTTTATGGGCAAGAAAAGCTTGATGAGCCTCTCCTGGATTTGCTTTACTACCCCAGCTTCTATCTCAAAGCACTTTACTATTGGGAGGGCAGCGGAGCCACTGGCCTGTAATTGGTAAAGGCTGTAATATCTAATGTCTACCAGAGGGAAGGGTGTGATTATCACAGAAGCTCTTCTAATAATCTGAGCAGAGCCCTCCGACAGTAAGTGGCCAGCCCCAAAGCATGAGATAGTCCTGGCTGCTCTGGATGACAAGCACACAGGGAGATCTGTTAGATGGTGCTAAAAAAGGGACCTAAGAGTCATTGCACACAGTCCACCAAAACCCTTTTCCCCTTCCCCATTTCAGCTCTGCTTGGCCACCCTCTGGTTGTAAAGGCAAATCTTGTTCCTCTTCAAGGTTACTTTTGGGATTCCTTGTCTTAGCCTCCTCCCCCAGCCCTGCCTTAAGATTCACTTTAACTTTATTTCATGCTAAAAATACTGGGGCAATAGCAGGAAGGGAAAATTTAAAATGAGAACACCATCTGCTCATCTTATGGTCGATCCTGATTTTAAGGAGAGTCAATTTGGGACAAGAGACTCTTAAGCTCTTCCTAACTTAACATTTCAGTCTTGCCACAGTCATGTACTGGTCACAAACGAGGTCAAACTGGTCAAATCTTTCAAGCTGCACTGTCTCCTTTTCATTTAAATAACTTTTTATGAACCAACGTTTCGTTACTCTTCACAAACATGGTTAAACTCAAGACAGACTTTATAAACATAAGAAATGGGTACTTATACATACCAACAATGCACAATGGTATACCATTTCCTAAGAACTATAATTAAGGAGTGACACTGGCATATTATAATAGACACAGAAAGCAAATGCTATTAAGTTGATAATGTTGAAAGAGGACAGTGACCCTTCATTGATAATGGTGAAATGTCTCTGAAAGCAACTCACACTCCTGTTGCTCGTTTTCCTGCTTTTGTGCATGACTGAACCTGGTTGGTGTTTTCATCTCTTCCAATCTACTCCATGTTAGACGTGGTGGGGTTTTCATTACATCACTTATCAGTTATCCATGCCACTGGCAGTCTTTATACTCCAGGTACATAGCACTGTGGTAAGCACCTCTGGAGACTGGAAAACATGAGGCCTAGAGCTTGCCCAAACAATAATGATGGTGTTAACTGAGTTAGAAAATATGGTAGTCACTTTGACTTGGCTACCCTGCTAGCCATTTTCCCACCTTTCCTCTTTCTACTCTCAAAGCTGAAGACTTGCTTTCGTAGACTTCCCTGTAGTGAGGAGTGGCCATCTGACTCAGTCCTCATAAATAAGATAGAGGTAGAAGTGTGCTAAGTGGTGTTTCTAGGAAGCCTTCTTCTCTCCTGGTAAAAGGCATGGGCAGGGCTGGCTCTGTCTTCCTCTTTCTTGTCTCTGCCTTGAATACATGCACAATACCTGGATTTTGCATCCATGAGGGAAAGGTCAAGAGAATCGCATGAAGCTGTCCCAAACACTGTTTTTTTTGAGGACGATCAGCCCTGAGCTAACATCCATGCTAATCCTCCTCTTTTTGCTGAGGAAGACCAGCTCTGAGCTAACATCTATTGCCAATCCTCCTCCTTTTTTTTTCTCCCCAAAGCCCCAGTAGATAGTTGTATGTCGTAGTTGCACATCCTTCTAGTTG